AAGAGCGAAGGGCCGCCAAGGCCAAGAGTGCAAGGGAGATTAGGAAACGTCTAGTCGAGAATCAGACGAAGGTGGTGGCGAAAGATGCTTTCAGCGACTCTTCCTTTGACGACATCCACAATGGAGTGCCAAACGAGTCACTTGAAGAAGTTAATGTCAACATCTCCAACATGAGTGCCTTCCTCAAGAGGAAGGCATTGGAGGATGATCTCGACGAGTCAATGATTGCTTTGGAGATCAAAGGAGCAAAAGCCACCAAGCTCTTTGAAGGATCTGACGATGAGGATGACGAACAGGATGAGCCAGATCAACAATGGGATGACAGCGAGTCTGAGGATGAGTCAGATGCACCGAGTCCCAAGARGTTGAACTCCAAGAAGACGAACAATACCAAACAAAAGACTACTACTGCTCCCAAGATACTCAAGAAGGTGACCGACAAGATTATCACAGAGGACATCTACAAGAAGACTTATGCCAACAAGAGAACGACATCTACTCAGTGAGGACACCGCCATTCGACCTCGTGGACCGGACCTATTCGATCATGTGGACAGGGCAAAAAAATAAATGGAAATTCCTAATCAATGTGGTTCGTTCGAGTTCGCGAACGACACGGGCATTACTGTTGGATTAGGTCGTCCACGTATTGGTTCAGTCAATACAAGTCAGTCAGAGTCCAGGTCGAGTGCTTCTTCGGTCGTTTTATCAACATATTCAACGTCTTCAAGTCAAGGTACAGGATGGACCACAAGCATCTCGATAAGGACTTCTACAATTGTTGTATGCTGGCCAACAAGATCATTGACCTCAATGCCCTATCGATGGTGGACCATTCCTTCTACCGTGCAGTCGTCTATCGTCGCTACCTGAGGAGAATGCGCTACGAAGAGAGAAGAAGAAAAGATAAGAAGCTTGCAGCCCGTATCCGACGCGGCCGCAACATTAGAAGCCATCGCCCGACCCAGGGTGAGTCGGACGAGAGTGATCCAGAGCCTAGGCCACCTCCTGCTAACGTTGCTCTCAATGAGACAGCAGATGAGTTAGTAGTCAACATCTCCAACATCTCCAACATCTCCAACAGGTCAGATAATGGATACGACGATGAGGATGAGGAAGACAACCTCCTGGATGGCAATTCAGATGAAGAAGAGATAGACGAGGATGAGGCAAATGCATTCTGTGATCGGTCTGATGATGATGAAGAAGATGATGATCATGGACCATTCACTGGTGGCGACGATGACAATTCTTCTTCAGACGAAGAGTCTGAGCGACAACAAGTGATCAGACCATCACCACCAGAGAGAGGCACTACTACTACTACTACCTCTACTAATATATACAGTCGACAGTATGCCAACAAGAGAGCAAGGAAGTAAAGAATAAAGTAGTCAGGGGTTATTCCGTAAAGTAGACAGGACATCCTCACATGTGTGACCAAGTCAAATTCAAAATGATCCAATATATATTTTTTAAACCCACACAGTAATGGAATAGGTCAGGTCCACATGGAGGTGCCTACTGTTATTTCGAAAAAGGCTCAATAGTCGGTGGTGGCAACCAACAAGTACGACGACATCGCGACCCTCCATGCGACTACAGACGTCGCTGAACGTGCATGATGGTGACGACTTTTTTTATATTTCACACAGGAGCATATACACTCCTGGCTTCTCGATTTATTGCATTTGCATTTTCGATATGTTTTCACTTCGACCCTAGGGCATTTTTTTGTGGGGAGTGATAGTTGGTGTTGTCTTGTGATTTCGCACTTTCGAATTTGGACTCCAACTTGAGGTCTAGTTCGGGTCAGGGAAGCTTGACTTTCAAAGTAAGTGCTGCAGTTTACCGTCATGCCAAGGACTGATGGTGACGACCCACGACGGGTATGAGTCATAGTCCACTAAATCAACTGTTGTGTCGACAAAGGCCAACATCAATGAGTACGTTGACGACCGTCGCAACACTACAGCAGACAATGGGCCAACATCAATCACTCCATCATCAACAGTGACATAGTTTCCTTGACATACTGGATTGTAGCAACAGTAACAACACCCACCAATACCATCAGACTGTTGTGGCGATTGATAACACGCTGTACATGGTCGTGACGTAGCAGTTGTGGCAGTGGTGTCAGTCGTGGCAGTCGTGGCAGTCGTGGCAGTCGTGGCAGTGGTGTCTGTCGTGGCAGTCGTGGCAGTCGTGGCCATCATGACAAAGGAGACCTTGGCGACTGTATACGGTAGCGACCATCATGAACACGACCATGAACACGACGATCACGACCTGACCATAACCATGACCATGACCATGACCTTGACTATGACCATGACCATGACAACGACCATGTCCTGACGATTGCAACTACCACTTTTTGGCGTCTTTAAGGTCGATAACAAATATGGAAATCAATAAATTCCACACTGGAACCAAATATGATTGATAAAATGTAATTGATTGATTGATTGACCGTTAATCATTCATATATACTCATCATTCAATCAATTAAATAATATATTCGTATACAACAATATTATTATTATTTGTTTGTCGACAACATTTAATGTTTGGGGGTGTTTGTCGTGTGTAAAAATGAATAATGATAAGGGATACTTTGTCGTGGAGGATACACTCGCTGTACTCTCTTAATAATTAATTGTTTGTTGACTCTTATTATTCTAAACAGTCTATAAGTGAGACTGCACTCTCTTATTCGCCTAATCATTAATTGTTGACCCTCTTGTCATTCTAGACAGTCTACATGTGATGCTGCGCTCGCTTGCTTGTATTAATGGATGCAATATTATTACTAAGAGTAGTAGGATATTATATTTGTAATGTAGTTGTTTCGTTTGAATGAAATGTCTTTGTTGTGTCGATGTCGTCCGTTGTTGTCTAGAAAGTGAATAAACCGCGCCAACTTCGAATAGATTCGAATAGTCTGTGTGTGAGTGAAAATTTGCACTACAGTCGCACTTGGATGGATATTATCGTGGATAAATCCAGGTACCTACAGGTGATTAATCACTAGATATGTGAAGGTCAGATTTATCTAATAAATACAGTATGTTTCATAAGTTATGGCCACCCCCTGTTCAAACAGGTACGAGTTTGATATCTCCTTTGTCATTATTCTAGTTCATCGTTCCGATACCTTCGATCAATTTTCGTTGCATAAATAATGGCCATGTTCACTACTTATCATTTCAACACTCTCATTCAATTATTTGTAAATAAATATAACTAGCAATAAGTAATTCAATCAAGATTAGTAGATAATTGAGTCTATTATTTAGAGAGATAAGATATCATTTGATATCTCTAAATATTGAAGAGATATCAATCACCTATCTGTT